CCACTGGATCCCCCGATCGGCATCAAGCAGAGTCTGCTATGTTCGTAGGGGAGGGGCCTGAGGGGAGGCACGGGGGATTGGTCCGCTTTATCCCTTGTCTCTTATACACATCTAGATGTGTATAAGAGACAGAGGTAGACCTACTAACAGTTATGGGTCTATATTTTCAGTAACCCAAAAAAAAAAAGTTTGTGGCTGCGCGAACATGTTCGGGCGAACGGGTTCGTATTCACCCGCGAACGCGAACAGCGTGCAACGCAGGTTTAAAGATTGTGGTGAGAGGTAAAAGAACAATAGTTTCAATGACTTGATCCAAAGCATGTTCAATTGCGATCTGCAAGAAAACAACACGCATGTAGTGGAAAGTGTTTTGCATATGCAGAACCTTAGTAAGCAAGAGTCATTTTCTCTTTTTTTTCCTTTTTAAAAAGAATAAATAAAAGGATTGCAAGAAATAAAATCCTTGCCACATATTTGCCCTCTTTTTTATATCTTGGTTGTAATTCCCCCTGGTTTGCTTCCTTTTTTTTTTTTTTTTTTTACCTTCCTTTTTTTTTTTTTTTTTTTTTTTTTAAGGACAAACGATTGGTAAATCAAATGGTCTGAAGACGATTTGGAAGTGTGGTGGATCGATCGGTGTATAAGGCAGGCGAATTGTTGAACACTGAGTCTAGGTTTTTGATAGGATTTATGAGAAGAAATACGTTGTCATAAGCTATAGGGATGGTTAGTCAGAAAACATATTGCATGATCTTGTCGAAAAAAGAGATTAGGACGGAATGAGCATACATCCTATCGTTTGAGGTAGAGGGCGCAATGGTGGTGTGAACGAGAGTGGTCAGTTTGCGGTTGAGTAGATTAATATCTGCATTGAGAAGGGGTCAATGTGTTGATAAGGTATCAGATTGAAGGAATAGGCTGACTAATCCCGTGAGGTATAAAGATATATGAATTAATGATTGAAATGATTAATCAAAACAATAGAATCGGAAATGCGGTAAGAAGGGGGAAATTTGGGTAATCTGTCAATTGGTTGGTTGAATCGCTTGAGTGTATAGTCCGATCTGGAATGGCGATAAGCCGATGAACGATATGGATTAGCGATCGATCTGTTGGCTTGATTGAATAGGATCGTCAGTCGTATTCGGAGTATTATTTGACGAAGTTGCAAGGTTTTAATAAGGCGCCTTGATCAGGCAATTAGTGCACTGTGATTGGGCGATAGACTGGTCATGTAATGATTGTGATTGTGCTTGGGTGGTAGACTGATCAGACAATGAGTGTAATGTGATTGGGCGATAAATTGATGGATGATTTCTGATGATCGATTGATTCGGTGGTTGACAAATCTTGTAGTCGATTAGTTGAATGGTCGATAAGTTAGGTTGAATGGTCGATTGATCGATTGTCTGATGAATCGATTAATTAATCAGTCGATCGATAAAGTGGTTATTGGTCGACTATTCAAGTGATCGATCGATCGGTCTATCAATCAAGTAAATGATCGACCAATTATGTGAACGGTTGTCCAATTAGGTGATCGATCGACCAATGAAGTAATGGGTCTACCAAACCAGTAATCAGTCGATCAACCGAGTCACGGTGATCAGTCGACCAGTCAACCATTCAAGTGATAGGTTGACCAATGAAGTGATCGGATGACCAATCAAGAGACCGGACGATGAATCGATTGGTTCACTTGATCGAATAGGATCCGCAATCGTATGTGATTGATTACATAGGATTATGTGACTAAATTGCAAGGCTAATAAAATAGTTGATCAAACAATGAACGTAATGCGATTGGGCGACAGGTTGATGGATGATTTCTGATGATCGAATGATCCGTTGGTTAACAAATGGTGTGGTTTATTAGTCGAATGATTGATAAGATTAGGTTGAATGGTCGATTGATTTATTGTCCGATGGGTCTTAGCCTATTAATTAGCGAAGGATGAAAAGAAAATGTCGAAGTCTTATGATCAATCAATGTATTAATAGACTGGCCAATCTGATTAGATTGGTTGAGAGAGCGATCTTATGGGCGGTCGATCAATGACTTACTATCGATCAAATGATTATTAACGTCATCTTGTTCTACTTATGAGTGTTAGTTAAAGGAAGTGGTTTGGACACATTTTGAGGGCCAGAAAGTAGGGTATACGTCCCCCGCATTTTTTATATTTTTTTTACCCTTTAATGTCTTTATATTCATTGCAGGTGGAAGGACAAATAGATAGATTGAGTCATATATGGAAGGGATCATTCGTTCTGGTAGGGGAAGAAGACTGATTTACAAGGGGGGATCAGTTCGCATATGCAAAGATTGACGTGAAAAACAGAGTGACATTCCCTACAAAGAGTGCGGGTTGCTCAATATCATGACATTGAGAAGATAGTTTAGCATATTTACCAATTAGGGTGAAAGCCGATAGGCAGTGTTGAACAACTGCTAATTTCTGAAAAAGACCTTTTGAACCTTCACTGTCATTTCCTTGAATGATCCCCCCTCCTCTTTTCCCCTTTTTTTTTCCTTTTTTTCTTTTCTTTTATAAATCGGTTGACGATTTATTGAATGATTGATTATTGGACTAATTAATCGATTGATTGTTCGACAGATGAAGGGGTTGATTGGTGAATCAAATTGATCAATCGATCAACTTGTTGGTCGACCGGTCGCTCGATTGATCGACCGATCGCATGATTAGTCGACTGATCACTTGATTGGTCAACCAATTACTTGATGGGTCGACTTGTCGACACATCACTTGATTGATTGACCGATCGCTTGATTGGTCCACCGATCACTTGATTGTTCATCCGACAAATTGATTGGTCGACCTTTTACTAGATTGGTCGCCCGATCAACCGATAATTTGATTGGTCGACTGGTCTGTTGATTGGAGATTAGTCGACTGATCATTTGATTGGTCGATCAATCACTTGATTTGGTCGATCGATTAGTTTATTGGCCGACAAATCACTTGAACGATCGATTGATCACTTGATTGGTCGACCAATCACTTGATTAATCGACCAATCACTTGATTAATCGACC